AAAATGCTGTGCAGAATTTGAAGACCTGGAATGGGGGGAAATAAAAAGAATGTCAAATACTACCCTGGCCAGATGGCTCAGTTGGGTGGAGGGTCATCCTATGAACCAAAAGGTTTCAGGTTTGATCCCCCAACGCTGCACATACAGGAGGCAACGGATGGATGTTTCTCTCACCTCTCCTAATCAATTAAGTAAAAACACATATCTCCCAGTGAGGATTTTTTAAAAAAAGAATGCAAAGTGCCTTCCATTAGATAATGACAGCACCAAAGAGAGATATTTTTGAAGCCTCCCTCTTGAGCTTGATAGCTTAAGCAGACAAAAAAGCAAAGATATTAATTTCAAAAATGTATGAACAAGATGGATCTCATGATCTCATATATGAAACATGCACAGCCACTGCATATACACAATAAAGAAGACGTGGGGAGATGTTAGGAATGTAAAATGGTGCAGCCACAATGAAGCACAGCATGGTGATTCCTCAAAAATTCAAAATAGAATTATTATATGATCCAGAAATTCCACTTCTGGTTCTATATCCAGAAGAATGGACAGCAGGGACTCCAAGTGATATTTGCACACCCAAGTTCAGAGCAAGGTCATTCCCAACAGCCAAATAGTGGAAATCATTCCATAAAGGACACAAACACTGAGGTCTTGTCGCTTCCTTGATAACACTACCACCCGAACTAAGGGCTATGGACTGAATGTTGTGCTTCTCAAAATTCATATGTGGAGTCCTAACCCCCCAATGTGATGGTATCTGGGAGTGGAACCTGTGGGATATTATTAGGTCATGAGGGTAAAGTCCTAGTGATGGGATTAGCTCCCTTATAAGATGGCAGGCGAGAGAGATTCTCTCTCCCATGTGAGCACACAGTGAGCAGGTGGCCATCTGCAAGCCAGGAAGAGAGCTCTCTCCAGAACCCCACCAAGCAGGTACCCTCATCTTGGCTTCCAGCTCCCAGACTGTGCGAGATAAAGGTCTGTGGTTTAAACCATTCAGTCTTGGGTATGTTGTTCTAGTAGTCCAAATGGACTGACACATTAAGGCTCCCATCATTTCTTGTGTGG